AAATGATAATAAAGTTGACCAATTTTTGAAGCTATTTCACCTATTTGCCAACGTTTTAAACCAGATCTTTTATCAAGAAGTATTCGATGTTCTTGTTGAAATTTCCATAATTTTGTATAAATATCAAATGTTCGTCCAAAATAGGGTTGCCATTGTTTATGTCCATATTGTGGAAGATCCCTATGAATAATATAATAGAAACAAGAAAAAAATTACTTTAAGTTTTACCTTAATCCATTAAATAATTGTTTAGATTTTTCAAGTAAATGACCAAATTCTTGTACAATTTTATCTTCATTTTCATGTCCGTTATTTTGATTACTGGATGAAGTAAGTTTATCAGTTGAATTTATATCTACTGATGTCATATTTTCATCGTCAAATTTAAAAAAAGAAAATCTAAAAAATTCATTGTCAAGGTTAGTATTCAATGGACGGAAAAAATTATTATCAATAAAAATGAATATTCTCGTAATTATATAACAGACGCGTTATACAAACATTTGTATACTAGCAAAATTATAAAATTTATCAAGTTGTGCAGCAACCTCAGCCGGTGTTTGACTGATGAAATCTAAACAAAATAAAAGATTTTATTTTTAATAAATCCAAATCATTTAGTTAGATTTTTACGAGGTAAATTTTGATATTTTGTTGTTAATAAATTCTGAAGTGCTGCTTGACACATCGATACACAATTTGTACCAGCAAATTCAAGTCCAATAACAGGACCTTTTTCAGCTAATGAATTATATTTTCGATCATTACCAAAAAGTCGTTCAAGATTCGTTTCATCAATTGTATAAGATTTACTTTGTACGAGTACAATCTAATTTAATAACAAAACAAAATTCAATTGATAAATTCACAAATAAACAAACTTCAGATTGTTTCGCCGTTGTGATCAATGCACGAGCACAAGCATCAGCATTGATATCATGAAAAAATATTACCAAACAACGCTAAAATTCAATGAAGAATTAATTCACGCTCTCAGCTCCATAGATTTTTAATTAGTATACAACTTATTATAGTACGGAAGAAATATTGTCACAGCATGTATTGAAGTACTTAGTATCTTACGTGCGTCAATGACAGATAGAATTCGAATTCAATTAAATCCGAGATTTTTTTTCTAAAAAAGGTAATATTACTCTTATTTTTCTTCTATGCGTAGAAGAAAAATAAATAACATATCTTATTTTAACTTGAGCTGGATTACGTGTTATAAAGAGAAAAATAATTAGAAATAGGTTGTCTTACTAAGTAATCCTTTCATTGGTTTGTATACTCTTTAATCATTTCTTTCGAATAATTTATTTTATGCTTTAATAATTATTTTTATTCTCATAGAACGGAAATGGAAAAGGTCGAAGAAGAAGAAAAAGTAGAAAAATATAACACAGATTTTTATGTATGTAATAAATATACAAATAATTCTCGTCAGTCATTCATAGAAAGGAAATAGCATCAGATCTCCCTTATATCAATAATGAATAGAATCATTCACTCATGGGAAATTAATAAGAAAAAGATCATGTTCTTACTTCTTCATTTTGTCCACGATATAATTCACCATATGTATATGGAGTAATACTCGTATCAACATCATCTTTAATATTTAAAAAATTACAAGATGAATCCGTTGGAATTGGTAGATATTTAAAAACATTTTCATTCTATAATAATTGAATAAGACAATGTTTTTTTTTACATTTACAACAATCAATTACTTTATCAAGTAATGAATAGTTTTTTCCATCGGGAATTGATGTAAAATCATGATTATTACTCCAATTATTATTCCATGGACTAATACCAGCTGATTTATATTGCTCTATTATAGATAAATACAGTAATTAATTTTTTTCCTCTTAATTAAATCTTACCAGCTAGTTGTTCATAATTAATTGTTAAACATCCAAATTTAATATTATGTGAAGATTCAATAACTGGTTGACTTGTACAAGACAAGAAAACATATGTATCACGACAATCTCGAGTACGAAATTGTTGGCATATTGTTGCTAATACACAATTTATTGAATCTCGAATGAAAATACTACCACGAACGGGACCAATAAAGATTCGACAGTTAGTACAATCATCAATTTGTATACAATTAGTATGATCAAATACATATATTGTACAATTCTATATAATAATCATAATAATAAGACAAACTAGATCGATTTAAATTACTTACATCACAATTTTGAACTAAAATGAAAGTATAGAATTTAATGACAGGTGAACATAAAATTTAATCTTACTAATAAATTGTTGTCCATTAACAGAGCCTGGTAATCGATAGATGGTTTGATCTTTTAATTTATCAAGAATAAAATCTTCTTTTCTAATTGTTGCTCGTTCGGGTTTCTCCCTAGCAAAATTAGATAAGTAATTCTATGTCTTGTAAATAGAGAATATATATACTAACCATGAATAAAGTTGACGTTCGACTGGTGATGACGGTTCGGCATTATTGGTAGTAAAAGACGAACGAAAGAAAAACGAGTAGATAGCCCCCATACCTAACAATAAGCTTAGCCAAAACGAGAAAAAGAATTTTCTTCTTTTCTCTCTTCCTCTTATTTACAACATCATCTCGATCCATAGTTTACCAAAATGAATTTAATGCTTAAGTAACTTAATGCAATGCAGTTTGTTATGAGAAATAGTCTTCCATTGTCTGCATTG